GGGGCCTCCCAGGAGCTTCGTGGTGGCCTCTTGGAGGCCTCGTGGGGTCTTGGGGCCTTCAATGGGGTGCTCATGGGCGTTTTTCGGGCCGTCTTGGTTGTTGGGCAATCTTGGAACCATTCCCCAGGCTCTGGATGGATGTTGGCCTCTCGGGGGTGGGGGAGGCTCCGTGGCCACTTCGAACCACCTTTGGGTGGGGGGTGGGGGGTCCTTGGGAGGCTCCGTGGCCACTTTGGACCGTTTTGGGGTGGTCTTGGGATTTCTTCGAGGTATGTTTGAGGCTCTATTGAGACATCGTGGGCTATAGTGTGCGATCTTGGAGGCCATCTTGGGTTACCTGGATCCTCTTGGGGCCATCTTGGACGCCCTAACGCTGGGCGACCAGCCCCATCCAGACTTTTCCAGATCCAGCCAGAATGGGCAGGGGGAGAGGTAAACAGTGGGTTGGGATAACTCACTCGTTACACAACCTGCGCCCAAGGGCTGGTGGGATTCTGGTCATACCGCAGCTTGGGATGGGTTTAAGGGGGGATGTTCTGCCCCTGGGTCGAGACGTTTCAGCGTGTTGAGCAACATCAAGACGGGACGCTTTTCGCGTGTTTCGGTCTCCAGGGGCCATCTGTATGCCACGGGACCGCCGAAAGATGGTTCACGATGGCAAGTTGATCTTGGCAGGGGTGGGTTTCCGGGTGCCCGCCGTACGGATCAAAAAAGGCACGGCTTCAGAGGTCTGGGAGAGTGTCCCCGATTCGGTTCGATCGTCTGCTTCGCAGTCGGCCGCGTTCGGTCGGTTCGGCTCAGTCTGTTGCTGTGTCGTTGCGTCCTGGACGTCTCTCAGTCTGTCGGTGTCGGTCGATGTCGATTGCGCTGGTTACCGTGCACCCCAGGCAGAGGCGACCCGCGCAATCACAGGTTAGAGGGCTCTATGGCTTCATCTTTGCATCCTCCTTGTCCACCGCCCCTCCTGTATCCTACCTCCTGCCTCCTCGCCATTGCCCTGATCGTCAAGGCGATGAGGACGAGGAGGAGGAGGAGGGAGGTGGGAGTAGGAATGGGGGAGGAGGGAGGCGTGCGGAGGGATGGGGTATGGGGCGTGAGGGAAGCTGGAGACAGGGGGTGGAGGAGGGAGCAGGGGGCGGGGGACGCTGGAAGGAGGGAGAAGGGCAGCCGGGCCGCCCGATCCAGCAGCGGGCCTCCTGCAGCGTCGCGCAGTGCGCAGCACACTCGGCTCGAGCCCCCCGCGCAGAGCCAAGAGGGTGCGGCTGGCCTCGCAGGGCCGGCTCGGCTGCTCACCGCCCCAGGCGCGAGCCTGCGGAGCGCCACCCTGGGGGCAGCCCGGCCCCGTCGAGGAGTCACGAAGCGTCCTGACCCGCCCCTGCGCCGAGCAGGTGACGTGCTGCCAGTCGTCGACGGTGGTTGCGGGATGTTATCACAGCGCTTCTACCCGAGGCAGTCGTGCTTCGAGGCATCGGTGTTGTGTCGTGGGGGCGTGGCTTTTGCTGCAGTGGGGGCGCACGTCAAGGAGCCACACGCTTTGCGTCGGGGCATCCTGGGTTCCTTCCTGCTCCGCGCGCTGCGCGGTGACTTTCCGCAGCCATTGAGAAAGCCGTTGCGTTCAGGGTGCTTCGGGTGCCCCCTCAGGTGCACCTCGCGCGCGGCTTTTCAGGGTTGGGCTTCTTGCGATGTTTTTTTTGCGGCCGCGCCCGCACTGTATTAGAGCATGCGATGGTTTTAAGAACATTTCGTGGTACAGTCAACCCGCACAATCAAGATGGGCAACCTTCTCAAGGGTACCCTTTCGCTGGCCGCGCCCCGCTCGAGAAGCTTCGGAATGGGCGCCCAAGGCCCTTGCATCTTTATCGCGCATCCCTGTGATACGGGCCGTTTGTCTAGAGAGAAAGGTGTCGAAGACCGACAGCAGGTCTTGTCCATTGAGCAGGACTCGCTGTCGGTGCCGCCGCGGATGTCGTCCGTTTGCGACAAACGTCGCCTGCCCACAAGGGCCGTTGTTGGTTGGGACAATATATTTGCTGTTGGGCCTCGCACGCATCTCGTGCGCATCTGGGTTCCATCAACAACTCGTGGTGGGCCTCTGGGCATGCCGCGGGGATAGCCCCACCAAACAATGGTCTAAAAACCGTTTGTGGTTCCCACGAAATGTTCTTTAGAACATTTCTGGCTGGGACTGCCTTGTTTTAACACATCGGGATTGTGTTCTAAGAAGATTGCTTTTGTTCTCAGAAGAACATTTTTGGGTTCTGAGAACATGTCGTGGGATGACCATAGGAATGCCGGGACGGCCGGCCCCTGCCCGAGATGCCAGGGGTGCGCGTGCGGCCCCGGCGCCTCGGGGCGGAGGTGTGCTCTCTCGCGGCCACGGCCAGGCGCAGCAGGAGGGGTCCCGGGATCGACCCAAGTATGATGGTGTGCCCATCCTGCTTACGGACCGCATCCCAGAGACATTTTCGAGCACCCAGAGACATGTCTGGGTTCTGAGAACATCTCCTCGCGGTGTGGCCATAGGAGTGCCGGGACGGCCGGCCCCTGCTCAGCAGCTCGTGGTGGGCCTCTGGGCATGCCGACCGGGCGGCCGGCCCCTGCCCGAGACGCCGGGGGTGCGCGTGCGGCCACGGCGCCTCGGGGCGGAGGCGTGCTCTCTCGCGGCCACGGCCGGGCGCCGCAGGAGGGGTCCCGGGATCGACCCACGTCTTGGCATCGCTCGGACGTGTGCATGTTTCTTTCGGCGAGGACCATCGAGGAGCATCCTTTACCATTTGGCGAAGAAGCCACGCACGAAACCGAAAAAAGCACAGGGAATGGACGTCCGAGCGATGGCCAGAGTTAAGGACCGCATCCCAGAGATGACTTCGAGCACCCAGAGCATGTTTGGGTTCTGAGAGCATTTTCTCGTGGTATGACTGACTCCTGCAACGCGGGACCTGCAGGGGCGGCCGAACACCTCCCCAACAGGGGAGTGCCAGCAGCCAGAGCAGCGCCAGCGGTCTGGGCAATGCCCGCGTGAGCAGGGGGAGGCGGAGGAGAGGTGCGGGACCCCAGGTTCGAGCTGCAGACCTCCTCTGGGCCACGGCCGGGCGCAGCAGCAGGAGGGGTCCCGGGGTCGACCCCGCAGTGGCCGGGCGCAGCATCGGGGGCGGCAAAGAGGGGGGTGAGGACTAGGGGGGGGTGGATATCATGGCGGGGGCCATGATATTTCCCCAGATTTCATGGCGCCCCTTCTCATTTCATTACGCCCCTGGCCCCCCCGCTGGGCCGCGCACATGCCGCCGGTCATGATTTGCACCCCCCCCTCTTGGACACACCCCCTCTTGGCCGCCCACGAGCACTGCAGTGACCTAAGTGGCGTAAGCTACAGCCTGGGCGTGCGATGGTGGTCGACGGTTTTCGACATGCCTCGCGCGAGTGGCCTGGGCGGTCTGACCCGGCATCGACCCGAATGGTCTCTTTCGGTGTTTTTGCTGTCTGTGCTCGTGTATTGCGAAGGCCTCACGGCCGATGCCGCCGACCCTGAGGGGGGACGATGAACGACGACGACGACGACGACGACGACGACGACGACGACGACGACGACGACGACGGCGGCGGCGGCGGCGGCGGCGACGGCGACGGCGACGACGGCGAGTCCTCGTTGGGGCCTTCCCGGGCCCTCTTGGGCTGTCTGTCTTGCTGTCTGTGCTCGTGTACTTGTGCGCTGTCTTGCCGACGGGCGCGGGCCCTCGCACTTTTCCCCTGCCCTCCCCCCGCCCCCCACTGTGGAGCGGAGCTTGGCTGTCTTCGGCGCCTGCTGCGAGCAGGTGGAGCTTCCCTCCCCCACAGGGCGCGCACTGCTGCAGACAGTCGCACTGAGCGGAGGTCCGGAGCCAGCCCGCCCTGCCTCCCCCCCTCCTCCTCCTCCTCCTCTCTTCCTCCTCCTCCTCCTCCTCCTCCTCCTCCTCCTCCTCCTCCTCCTCCCTCCTCCTCCTCCTCCTCCTCCCTCCTCCTCCTCCTCCTCCTCCTCCTCCTCCTCGCTCCTCCTCCTCCTCCTCCTCCTCCTCCTCCTCCTCCTCCTCCTCCTCCTCCTCCTCCTCCTCCTCCTCCTCCTCCTCCTCCTCCTCCTCCCCCTCCCCCGCGGAAGCAGAACGGAAGGCTCCGCGCCGCGGCACTGTCGAAGCGCATCGGCACGAGGTCCCCGAGCAGGAGGAGCTTCTCCTGGGCACGGTCCCGGGCGAGCCCCTCTTCCGCCCAGTGTCGAAACGCCGAATAAGAAAAGGCTGAAATTGCTATCGTTCTCACTCGTTTTGTCCTCAAGCCGCCCCTGTCGCAAAACGACGTCGAGACGGAACCAGCCTGCGAGATCGCCACAGCACCGTTCAGGTCGACCACCGGAGAGGCCCATGGGGTCGATTCTGAGCAACAGTGGTCCTCGGCAGGAGTCGTGCCGCGTTGATGCGGCGGCGCCCGACCCCAGCGCGGGCGTTCAAGGTTGCGTGCCGCCAGTGGCGCGGAGTCTCCTGACCTTTGAAGAAGCTACCGCGCGAGCCGTCCCGACATAAGCCTGCCCCAGCGAGGTTTGCACTCGTTTGGGGGCGGGCGGGGGCGTTTGGGCAGGAGGAGGATGCGGACCCAGGATCACAATAAGTCGCTCCAGAGCGTTCCAGAGCGATCTCAGAGTGTTCTGGAACACTCTGAAACGGCAGCGGCGCCCGATGCAGCTTCCAGGCTTGCCTGCTCTCGGAGATTCCCGACTGTGGAGGCCTTACGGCCGGTGCCGCCAACCCTGATGACGACGACGATGAGGACGACGACGAGGACGACGACTAGGAGGAGGGGAGGAGTAGCAGGCGGAGGAGGAGGCAGAGGACGCGGTGGAGAGGCAGGGGGTTGGAGGAGGAGGATGCGGACGAGGATGAGGAGTGGGAGCAGGGGCAGGGGGAGGACAAGGGTGGAAGGAGCAGTAGAGGAGGACGAGAATGGGAGCCGGAGCATCAGGCTGCCCCCGAGCGATGGCCGATCCTGTGCACGACGGCTGCGTCCAGGCCGACGGGACGAGGCTGGTCCTCAAGAACGGCTTTCTGGAGGTAGTGGACTTCGAGCCCGGGCTCTCAGAGAAGAGCATGTCCAGAGGAGGATGAGTTTCAGGGCCTCCCAGATGGGGTCCGAGCAGATGGGGTCGGAGGATCGCGTCGACGCATCGGCGATGCGGCTCGATGCGGGCGTCGCCGATGCGTCGCCGACGTCTTCCATGCATCGTCGATGCATGCGCGATGCATCGGCGATGCGGCGAGAGTCTCCGACCCCATCTACTCTGACCCCATCGTTCGGGTGCAACTCCTGGGAGGTCAAATTCTGATTTTGCCCTGGTCCGAAATCCGGCTTAATCCGGCTCCATCCCGCTTGATCGGGCTCCTCTTCCTATTTCATTTGGCTTACTCTCGCCTGATCCGCGGCCTAATCAGGCGTAGCAGCCCCCCAATGGGGCTGAGTCCTCCTTTGATCCTTCCGACGAAGACCTCCCAGTAGCTGCCTCCCGGCCATCTGGGAGGGCGAGCTGAGACCTCGGCAGCTGGCCTTCGGGGGGTTCCTGGTCGCCGCGGCCAGACGCAGCCTGGGGAAACCGTTGCGTTGGGGATCCAGGAGGTGTCCGGGGCTCGATTTTGAGCCGTCGTTGTCTCAAATCGCCCTTCCCCGACGCAAGAAAGCACTGCAACCACAAACAAATGGATCTGGGGTGGGTTCCCCCCCCCCCCCCCCCCCCTTGTGGCGCCTCTGGCGCCAGTCTTGGCGCGCTCCGCGCGCCAGGGAGGGGGCGCAGATCCATGAAATCCGCGCAGATCTCGGAAAGTTCCTCCAGGCTCCGCCGCAGCAAGAGCGAGAGCAGCATCAGGAGTTCCTGCAGGAGCTCCTGCAACGGGAGCCTCGCGCCCGTGGATGCGGCCAAGGACGCGCGTGGCATCAGGGGCAACCTCGGGGTATGCTCAGTGGGGGGTGCATCGACGCCCCGATCGCCCCTTCATCTCCACGAGTTCGGGGTCAGGGAGCCCACCCAGCCCAGGAGCGTGCGGAGTGGGACCGTCCGCCCATCGGTGAGATGTCGCCGATTCCAGGTAGCCCGCCCAGCCCAGGGGCGTGCGGAGTGGGACCGTCCGCCCATCGGGGAGATGTCGCCGATTCCGGGTCGAGGCCTCCCCCCCCTGAGCGCGTCCGTGCCTCGTGCTCCCCGCCAGGACAGCGCAGCGGGGAGGCCGCCTACGTGCGCGGACGACGGCCAAGTGTGGAGCGCCACCGCCAGCGTCCACAGCCACGAGTCCTTCTCGGAGCATCATTCGGTCATTCGTGCGAGATTTATGTCCGCACACACACGACGTCCTGGATTTGTTCGTGAGGGGATTCCAAGCACCCGAGACACATCAGATACAGACAACAGTCCGGCCTCTAGAGGCCATGTGTCGAATCGTATCCGCAGCGTCTCAGGTTTCGAGGGGATGCAGCCTGAAGGTTGTGAGTGCATCTGGTTGTAAATCTTGCCCGCAGGTCACATCTGACAGCAACAGCCATTACCCCCCGTGGGGGGAGCTTGACGACGGCAGCCAGTGCAAGAGCAGCGGGTACGGATTCAGCGACGGCAGCCAGTACGAGAGCAGCGGGTTCTCCTCCCACGCGTCGGTCAGCTCCCATTCCGAGAGCTACAATCTTCGGCGTGTGGAGGAGTCGGAGGGGCTCGATGTATACACCACGTCTTTTGGTCGGCCACAGAGCCATTGAGTTCGGCGCCAGAATTTGGTGTGGAGATTCTCCAGCGTTTCACAGGTTGGGCAGCTTTGACGTCTTTGCACCGAGCTCCTTGGCCGACCAGATGCCGCGGTGTATACATCGAGCCCCTCCCAAGGAGAGCGAGGACCTTGAGCCGCAGGATGCCGAATTGCTGAAGGCCAACGAGGCTCAGCACGCCGCTGGGACTTGCAAACCGTGTCTCTACCACAGGACGAAGGCCGGCTGCGCGAACGGCCGTGCGTGCATGTTCTGCCACCAGCCGCACGCGACCAAGCGCCGGGCGCGGCCGAGCAAGGCCGAGAGGATGCACTGCAAGCAGCTGGTCGCGGCGCTGGACGGCCAGAGCGACGGCGTGGGGCTGCTCGACGAGAGCAACCCGAGCCAGTACATGCTCAGCATCCTAAGGCCAGAGGAGGGCGAGCAAAGGCAATCAAGCAGCGGCGAGGCGTCCTGGCTTGCCTAGTGGCCCACAAGACATGTTCTAAGATCTTGTGTGGTTCGCACGAGACGTTCCTAGAACATTTCTGGCGGAGACTGTCTTGTTTCAGCACACTGGGTCTATGCGTTCAGAACATGTCGTGGTAGGCCTATAGGAATGCTGGGGCGGTCAGTCCCTGCTCGAGGCAACGGTGGTTCCCTTTCGGGGATGGCCCTCGTGGCCACGGCTGGACGCATCTCGGAAAATTGGTGCGATCGTCATGCACACGCGAACACGGATGAGGGACCCGTGGATCTGGTGCCGGGGCGCGAGGTCCATGGATCGGGGAATGTACACCCTGGCGGGGGTGGGCCTGAATGGTGTTTTGGCGACTTCGTGGGTCTTTCCGTTTCGACTCCGTTCTGCGCTGAAGGCGGACTGAAGACAAGACGAGGGAGAACGAGAACAAAACGAACACGACAAATGTGGTTTAGGTCGAGCCACCCCGGTACATGAGCCCAGCGTCGCCCGATTTGGCGACGAAGCGCGCCGCTTCTGTGTGCACCGCCGCGGAGGACTGTTTGCGTTTCCTCGAGTCTGGATCCCGGGGGGTCCGGGGACCGACTTTTCCTCGGGGGTCCCCAAACGGGGCGGTGACCACACCGTGCGGTGAGTTGGTGGGGATTCGGGGTCACCGCACGGTTTTGGGACTCGGGTCGTTCTCCGAGGACGTCTCGGGCGACTGGGGCCTCCGAGGTCCCAAGACCGTGCGGTGACAGACCGTGCGGTGAGGTCTTGGGGGATTTCGAGGTCACCGCACGGTCCGTCACCGCACCGTTTCGGGACTCCAAATTTTCCCGTAGCAATCCAGGCCTCCTAGATGGGGTCCGGGTAGATGGTCGAGGGATCGCGCCGCATCGCCGATGCATCGACGATGCGGCTTGATTTGGAGCCCGTGTTTCCCCATGACGACGTCACCGATGCATCGCCGACGTCGCCGATGCATCGGCGATACATCGGCGATGCATGTGCGATGCGACGCGATCCTTCGACCCCGTCTACTCGGACCCCACGTGTGTCCTCGCAAGTCCGCATTCGGAGCGCACTGGCGATGAGGCAGTGACGATCCAGCGTCGGTTCAGCGCTGGTGGGCGTCGGTCAGCGTCGGTCGGCGTCGACGTGCAGGAGCCCGCAAGGGAGGGCAAGTGAGGGAGGCGTCCGTGTTGGCTGCCGCAGATCGGCTGCGCGCCTTGGGCGGGGCTTCTACTCCTAAGGAGCCCGCAGGCGTCGTAGACAGTTATCTGCGCCTTGCGCCATGGGGAACTCCTCCTCTTCCTCCTCCTCCTCCTCCTCCTCCTCCTCCTCCTCCCTCCTCCTCCTCCTCCTCCTCCTCCTCCTCCTCCTCCTCCTCCTCCTCCTCCTCCTTCCTCCTCCTCCTCCTCTTCCTCCTCCTCCTCCTCCTCCTCCTCCTCCTCCATCTCTCTCCTCCTCCTCCCTCCTCCTCCTCCTCCTCCTCCCTCCCTCCTCCCTCCTCCCTCCTCCTCCTCCCCCTCCTCCTCCTCTCCTCCTCCCTCCTCTCCTCCTCCTCCTCCTCCTCCTCCTCCTCCTCCCTCCTCCCTCCTCCCTCCTTCCTCTTCCCTCCTCCTCCTCCTCCTCCTCCTCCTCCTCCTCCTCCACCCCACGGGTCCTGGGAGAGCCGGGCCTTGAGGCGTGCCACCGCTTTCGGGCCCTCGGGGCCCCACTCGCGTGCCCCCAGGACTGTCCGGGAAACGCCTTGGAGGAAGAGCTTGTCTGAAGGGGCCCTGGGACACACAAATAAATGCACACGAATAAAAAGATTCCCCATGTTTTTCCATATTTTCTGGATGTTCGTCTTCCCCCCCACTTCCCATATTTTCCCATATTTCCCCACATCCAAAGTGGGGTTCTTGTTTTCCCCACATCCAAAGTGGGGTTCTTGTTTTCTCTGGACACCCCGCGCAGGAACAGGAACTCTAACACGCTCACGAACATCATCATCATCATCATCATCGGCATCGGCATCATCCTCATTCAAACATCATCATCGCCACCACCACTCACAATCAATCATCATCCTCTTCACCACTCATCTTCACCACTCATCATCCTCATCCTCATCATCGTTGAGTAAATTGTGAGGAAGTCTCAGGCGGGAGCCCCCTCCCTATGGGGCCCGCAGATCATGTTGGTAATCCGAGCGGGTCATCGGAAACCTGTAACTGTCGTCACTTTTGGGCTCGTCAAGCCTGAAAATGGAGGAAGTCTCAGGCGGGAGCCTCGTCTGTGAGTGAATTGGGAGAAGTCTCAGGCGGGAGCTCCCTCCCTATGGGGCCCGCAGATCATGTTGGTAATCCGAGCGGGTCATCGGAACCTGTAACTGTCGTCACTTTTGGGCTCCTCAAGCCTGAATTTGGAGGAAGTCTCAGGCGGGAGCCTCGTCTGTGAGTGAATTCTGAGGAAGGCTCAGGCGGGAGCCCCCTCCCTATGGGGCCCGCAGATCATGTTGGTAATCCGAGCGGGTCATCGGAACCCTGTAACTGTCGTCACTTTTGGGCTCGTCAAGCCTGAATTTGGAGGAAGTCTCAGGCGGGAGCCTCTCTCTCCCTATGGGGCCCGCAGATCATGTTGGTAATCCGAGCGGGTCATCGGAACCTGTAACTGTCGTCACTTTTGGGCTCGTCAAGCCTGAATATGGAGGAAGTCTCAGGCGGGAGCCTCGTCTGTGAGTGAATTGTGAGGAAGTCTCAGGCGGGAGCCCCCTCCCTATGGGGCCCGCAGATCATGTTGGTAATCCGAGCGGGTCATCGGGTAACTGTCGTCATCCTGTAAGTCTGCCTCGTCTCTGACTTCTTGGAGCTCGCTCATCCGAGCGGGCATCTGAACTTTTGGGCTCCTCAGCCTGGAGGAAGTCTCAGGCGGTTTTGTCCAGGGCGGAGGCGAAGCAGCTCGCGGCAGAGCTGGGCTTCGTGCTGCCTTCCGCCTGAGCGCGGCTGCGCCTCGCTCGAAGCCCGCGGGGTTGTCCCAACGGCTTGGTCTTGCGCGCCAACGGCTCGCGGGGTTGTCCCGACAGCCTGGCCCGCGGGGTTGTCCCAACGGCTGCGCGACGTGACCAGTAGAGAACGCGCTTGTGCTGGCCGTGGCGGCGACGGCGCCGAGGAACATCGACATGCGCGCTCATGCAACAGGAAGGGGAGGAGGTGGCGGGGCGCGGAACAAACAGGGGGGCGAGGATGGGGACAACGTAAGGAGTGGAAGGGGGGGCCGCGCCAAGGCGACAGGAAATATACGCAGAAGAGACAGCCAGGACGCCTCACCAACCACGAGGACGACGGTGATGGTTTTTTCCAGATTCGCCCAGAGGATTCTTATGTGGGGTTCTTCCGTCGGAGTAATTTTCTCTGGACACCCCGCGCAGGAACAGGAACACACACACACACACCCACACCCACTCCACTCACTCACACTCTCTCATCATCAACCTCATCAGCATCATCGATGATGCTCTCTCACATGCTTAGTCACTCACATACTCATCATCATCAGCATCACCGCACTCTCTCACACCTCACGCATCATCATCATCATAATCATCATCATCGGCATCGGCATCATCCTCATTCAAAACATCATCATCGCCACTCCATCACAATCTCATCATCTCTTCACCACTCATCTTCACCACCACTCATCATCCTCATCCCATCATCGTTGAGTGAATTGGGAGGAAGTCTCAGGCGGGAGCTCCCTCCCTATGGGGCCCGCAGATCATGTTGGTAATCCGAGCGGGTCATCGGAACCCTGTAACTGTCGTCACTTTTGGGCTCGTCAAGCCTGAATTTGGAGGAAGTCTCAGGCGGGAGCCTCGTCTGTGAGTGAATTGTGAGGAAGGCTCAGGCGGGAGCCCCCTCCCTATGGGGCCCGCAGATCATGTTGGTAATCCGAGCGGGTCATCGGAAACCTGTAACTGTCGTCACTTTTGGGCTCCTCAAGCCTGAAAATGGAGGAAGTCTCAGGCGGGAGCCTCGTCTGTGAGTGAATTGGGAGGAAGTCTCAGGCGGGAGCCCCCTCCCTATGGGGCCCGCAGATCATGTTGGTAATCCGAGCGGGTCATCGGAACCTGTAACTGTCGTCACTTTTGGGCTCGTCAAGCCTGAAATGGAGGAAGTCTCAGGCGGGAGCCTCGTCTGTGAGTGAATTGGGAGGAAGTCTCAGGCGGGAGCCCCCTCCCTATGGGGCCCGCAGATCATGTTGGTAATCCGAGCGGGTCATCGGAAACCTGTAACTGTCGTCACTTTTGGGCTCCTCAAGCCTGAATTTGGAGGAAGTCTCAGGCGGGAGCCTCGTCTGTGAGTGAATTCTGAGGAAGTCTCAGGCGGGAGCCCCCTCCCTATGGGGCCCGCAGATCATGTTGGTAATCCGAGCGGGTCATCGGAAACTTGTAACTGTCGTCACTTTTGGGCTCCTCAAGCCTGAATTTGGAGGAAGTCTCAGGCGGGAGCCTCGCCTGTGAGTGAATTGGGAGGAAGTCTCAGGCGGGAGCTCCCTCCCTATGGGGCCCGCAGATCATGTTGGTAATCCGAGCGGGTCATCGGAACCCTGTAACTGTCGTCATTTTCGGGCTCCTCAAGCCTGAATATGGAGGAAGTGTCAGGCGGTTTTGTCCAGGGCGGAGGCGAAGCAGCTCGCGGCAGAGCTGGGCTTCGTGCTGCCTTCCGCCTGAGCGCGGCTGCGCCTCGCTCGAAGCCCGCGGGGTTGTCCCAACGGCTTGGTCTTGCGCGCCAACGGCTCGCGGGGTTGTCCCGACAGCCTGGCCCGCGGGGTTGTCCCAACGGCTGCGCGACGTGACCAGTAGAGAACGCGCCTGTGCTGGCCGTGGCGGCGACGGCGCCGAGGAACATCGACATGCGCGCTCATGCAACAGGAAGGGGAGGAGGTGGCGGGGCGCGGAACAAACAGGGGGGCGAGGATGGGGACAACGTAAGGAGTGGAAGGGGGGCCCGCGCCAAGGCGACAGGAAATATACGCAGAAGAAACAGCCAGGACGCCTCACCAACCACGAGGACGACGGTGATGGTTTTTTCCAGATTCGCCCAGAGGATTCTTATGTGGGGTTCTTCCGTCGGAGTAATTTCCTCGGGATCGACGAATAATCGTGTCTGTGTGTTTTTTCCCCTCCTGATTGTCCTGGGGGAAGGCCCCGGGGGTCCAGGACTCCCGTCTCCCACAGGAACCGTGGCGGCGAAGAGGGGGGTGATGACTAGGGGGGGGGATATCATGGCGTGGGCCATGCTATTTCCCCAGATTTCATGGCGCCCCTTCTTATTTCATGACGTCCCTGGTCCCCCCGCTGGGCCGCGCACGTGCCCCCGGTCATGATTTGCACCCCCCCCTCTTGGACACCCCCTTCTTGGCCGCTCCCGAACAGGAGCCGTCCCCACCATGCTGGAAAAAACTCAGGGCAACTTCTCGGAAGCCCCGAGGCCCTCCTAGCCTTCTGAGAAGGCCCGTCCCTCCTGACTTCCCCCCCTGGGCTCGCCGCCGACTTGAGCTGCCGCTGTCTCAGCTGCGGCGGCAGCGGCGGGGCGGCGGCGGGGCGGCGGCGGGGCGGCAGCGGCGGCGACGACGATGAAGAGGCCCTGGGACACAAATAGATAGATACAAATCCCAGGATTCCAACTATTTGTGCATATTTCCTGGAGTTTCGTCTTCCCCCGCACTTCCAATTTTTACCTAACAGCGAAGACTGATAGGTTTCTAGTAGGGTCAAAAGCGAGCATCATGACTCCCCAGGGGGGCCTGGGCGGGATCCGGACAGGGTGCTCCGGGAAACCCCCGGGAAACCGGGGACTCCTTTTTTAGCCAGCAGTAACACACTTCGTGTTCTTCGACTTTCCAGAACTCCATTCCTGGGCATGATTTTGAATGCCATGAGCCAACTGTAGGCCACTTCGTGTTCTTCGAGTTCCCAGAACTCCATTCCTGGGCATGATTGTGAATGCGCGGAGCCAACTGTAGGCCACTTCGTGGTCTTCGAGTTCCCAGAACTCCATTCCTGGGCATCATGTTGAATGCCCAGAGCCAACCGTAGGCCACTTCGTGATCTTCGAGTTCCCAGAACTCCATTCCTTGGCATGATTTTGGATGCCCAGAGCCAACTGTAGGCCACTTCGTTTTTTTCGAGTTCCCAGAACTCCATTCCCGGGCCACATTTTGAATGCTGAGGCAGGCTGACGCTGAGGCTGAGGCAGGCTGAGGCTGGGGCAGGCTGAGGCTGAGGCCGAGGCTGAAGGCAGACTGGGGCTGAGGCTGAAGCAGGCTGAGCCTAAGGCTGAGGCAGGCTGAGGCTGAGGCTGAGGCAGGCTGATGCTGAGGCAGGCTGAGGCTGAGGCTGAGGCTGATGCAGGCTGAGGCTGTGGCAGGCTGAGGCTGAGGCCGAGGCTGAAGGCAGGCTGAGGCTGAGGCTGAAGCAGGCTGAGGCTGAGGCTGAGGCAGGCTGAGGCTGAGGCTGAGGCTGAGGCTGAGGCTGAGGCAGACTGAGGCTGAGGCTGAGGCTGAGGCTGAGGCTGAGGCTGAGGCTGAGGCTGAGGCTGAGGCTGAGGCTGAGGCTGAGGCTGAGGCTGAGGCAGGCTGAGGCTGAGGCTGCAGGCTGATGAGGCAGGCTGAGGCTGAGGCAGGCTGAGGCTGAGGCCGAGGCTGAAGCAGGCTGACTGGCAGACTGAGGCTGAGGCTGAGGCAAGCAGGCTGAGGAGGCTGAGGCTGAGGCTGAGGCTGAGGCTGAGGCAGGCTGATGCTGAGGCAGGCTGAGGCTGAGGCTGAGGCAGCTGAGGCTGAGGCAGGCTGAGGCCGAGGCTGAAGGCTGAGAGGCTGAGGCTGAGGCTGCTGAGGCTGAGGCTGAGGCTGCAGGCTGAGGCTGAGGCTGAGGCTGAGGCTGCAGGCTGAGGCTGAGGCAGGCTGAGGCTGAGGCCGAGGCTGCAGGCAGACTGAGGCTGAGGCTGAAGCAGGCTGAGGCTGAGGCTGAGGCAGGCTGAGGCTGAGGCTGAGGCAGGCTGATGCTGAGGCAGGCTGAGGCTGAGGCTGATGAGGCTGAGGCTGAGGCTGAGGCTGAGGCAGGCTGAGGCTGAGGCCGCTGAGGCTGCTAAGGCAGACTGAGGCTGAGGCTGAAGCAGGCTGAGGCTGAGGCTGAGGCAGGCTGAGGCTGAGGCTGAGGCAGGCTGAGGCTGAGGCTGAGGCTGAGGCTGAGGCTGAGGCTGAGGCAGGCTGAGGCTGAGGCTGAGGCTGAGGCTGAGGCTGAGGCTGAGGCTGAGGAGGCTGAGGCTGAGGCTGAGGCTGAGGCACAGGCTGAGGCAGGCTGAGGCTGAGGCTGAGGCTGAGGCTGGCAGGCTGAGGCTGAGGCCGGACTGAGGGCTGAGGCTGAGGCTGAGGCTGAGGCTGAGGAGGCTGAGGCTGATGCTGAGGCTGAGGCTGATGAGGCTGAGGCTGATGCAGGCTGAGGCTGAGGCAGGCTGAGGATGAGGCCGAGGCCGACGGCAGACTGAGGCTGAGGCTGAAGCAGGCTGAGGCTGAGGCAGAGGCAGGCTGAGGCTGAGGCTGAGGCAGGCTGATGCTGAGGCAGGCTGAGGCTGAGGCTGAGGCTGATGCAGGGTAAGGCCGGGGCAGGCTGAGGCTGAGGCCGAAGCTGAAAGCAGACTGATGCTGAGGCTGAAGCAGGCTGAGGCTGAGGCTGAGGCAGGCTGATGCTGAGGCAAGCTGAGGCTGAGGCTGAGGCAGGCCGAGGCTGAGGCTGTGACTGCGACTGCCGTTGCCACTGCGACTGTCATCGCGAATGCGACTATGACTGCGAGATCAGCAGAATTCTACAACTGGATTCTCGTCTGAATCATAAGGGGAATGCTTCCAGATATGCTCCTACACATCGCTGTTAGGTTGCTTTGCAGGGATAATTTTCTACGTCTTCTTGGGGATCGGCGATTCCTTGTGTCTCTGTGTCTCTTCCTCTCCTGGGACGACCGGCGGCAGCGACCGCTGGCGACTTCGGCGACGGCGACGGGCGACGAGCGCGCGCCGCTGCCCCGCCCAGGGCCCGGGAGCGGCAGCAGGGCGCGCCGCAGGCGGAGCCGAGCGCGGGCTCGGCGCGGGCCGCGCCAGGCGAGAGGCCGAGGCGCCGCGCGAGCTGAGGGCCAGGGCGCGCGGGCGGGAGGGTCGGGGCCTCCTCCTCCTCCCCTCCTCCTCCTCCTCCTCCTCCTCCCTCCTCTCCTCCTCCTCCTCCTCCTCCCCCCCTCCCCCCTCCTCCTCCCCGTCCTCCCTCCTCCTCCTCCTCCTCCTCCTCCTCCTCCTCCTCCTCCTCCTCCTCCTCCTCCCTCCTCCCCCTCCCCCCCCCCCCTCCCCCTCCTCGTCCACGGAGCATCGGTCGATTCGACGCAAGAGTGACCTTTCGCCGGAGTGACCTTTGGTGCGGGCACGGGTGGGCCCTCCGATGGCCGAACGCGAGGCAGGAGCAGCGGCTGGCGCGCCCGGGTTTGGTCCCCCAACGGCCCCCCAAAAGGCCGCGCACCAGAGGTCACGCTTACCCAAGGTCACTCTTTCGGAGTCCTAGAGGTTGACACCAATACCAAGATCGGCGGTGTTCCTCCACCGAGGGAAGACGATCCCGATCTCGGTGATGGTGGTAATATTCTGGCTTCCAAGGTGACCGAAATATTACCACCAACACCGAAATCTAAGATCATCATCTCCCTGTGGAGGCAAACCCCTGTGCTGGTGTTGGTGCCAATTTCCAGGCCTCCAACTCTTGCGTGTAGCCGACAGTGGGTGGCCAGGCGTGGGAGCGTCCGTTCGGCCCCGAGGGTTGCTCGACTTCTGGTCTCGCGGAGGTTGCTGGGATCTGGCAGGTGCCCCCGTTGGCATGCACCTGGTGGTAGTAGGATTTTAGTGGGGTGGGTCGCGAGTGGGACTTCGCGGGCTTCGCGTGGGGGCCATTCAATCTCACTGCAGTCAACGCGCATAGTAAGGGCGCGCGCCTTTTCTAGGGTACCCTTGTGTCCTTGCCTCTGCGGCCCGCCCTTTGCTGCTTCCCCTGGCCAGCCTCTCAGGCCGACGCCCCACAACTCCCAACCTCGGCCTCCAAGGGTCTCGCGTCCTTACCACCCGTCCTCACTAGACGTTTTCACTGTACCTGTGCGCTTGTGCGACCACCCGAGGATCCCACGCCTGGCCACCTGGCCCCCATCGCCTCCACCGCGCGCAGGAGGGGGGCGGGCCTCAGCGCCAATCCAAGAGATCCGCGCGGATCTCTTACAGTTTATGGAGCGGCCTTCGGCCCATCCCGCCACCGTGGTTGTCTTGTGGGTCATGCCATGGTTTACCAGCCTGGAACACATCCCTGTCCCTGTGCTGGGCATCTCCTCATCACGGTGCCAATCTGAGGGATTCCCTTATGTTTTGAGGGCGCATCCCTAAGATGGTCATCGCCTTTTGGCGTGCCAATCTCAGGGATGGGGATACGTTCGAGGCTGGTCAACGATGCACTTCTACAGGGTGTTCGCTGGGCCGCCGCGAGACGCCCCTCGGGGGCCTCTTGGGGAGGCCGTCCTGAGGCCTCCTTGGGGGGCGACCTGGGGCCCGCAGACGGGCCCCCGGAGCTTGCCGTTGAGCGGGGCCTGGGGATTTTCAACGAACAATATCAGAGCCCCGAATCATCAGGGGTAACTCGGGTCAGGGATAACTCGGGTTCGTTTCTCGGGAATCCAAACCCGAGTTACCACGGACCCGAGTTACCCCGGATAACTCGGGCGTCCAGAGCCCCGAATCATCAGGGATAACTCGGGTCAGGGCTAACTCGGGTTCCTTTTCCGGGAATCCAAACCCGAGTTACCCCGGACCCGAGTTACCCCGGATAATTCGGGCGCCCAACAATAAGAAAGAGTCAAACCATACTCCCAAATGGCCACAAAGAATCCCCAAACTGTTTGCTGTGTCTATTTCTGAGGATCCCCCCTGTGGATGGGGGGCAGCTTGGAGGTCTTGGGGCGCCGCTCGTGGGCCTCCCGGGGCCTTCCTGGGGCCTCCCGTGGGCCCCTGCTGGGCGGAAGACTCGGGTTTGCGGGTTCGTGCTCTCCCTCCTGGGCCCTGCTTGAGGCTGTCTGTGGGCTCGCTTCGGCCGCCTTGGGCCCCCCCGGGGCCGACTTTGGGCCGTCTTGGGGCGCTTGGGAACCCCCAAACCGGGTGGGGAGATACCAGGTGGCGACCTGGAATCCCCAAAAAGGTCACCGTTGGGTTTGGGGACGCGGGGTCACCACCGGGTTTTGTGACTCTTGGACCCACCAGTGTCCGGGACATCCTCGGAAAACCGCACGAGTCCCCAAACCGGGTGGTGACACCAAATCACCCGAGACTCACCGCCAGGTGTTGTCACCACCACGTTTGGGGACTACTTAGGCGCTCATGGGGCCCCTCGGGCCATGTTGCGGTGGTCTTGTGGGCCGCTTGGGCCGTCCTGGAGCGTCGGACGCTCGTAGAGTCGAGGACCCCAAACACATTGAACATTGTAAGGGAGATCGGTGATGTTGGCCTCTCAGGTCTTGGGGGCTCTCTTGAAGCGTCTCGAAAGCGCCTTGCGCCATATTGGAGACACCCTGAGCGTCTTGGACCAGCCCCGTGTAGCGTCACCCTTTGGACCCCCTCGGCGGCCGCTTTGGGGACTCGTGGCCCGCCTGGGGCCCCGCGCGTTCCAGAAAGAGTCACCGCGACAGGACCCGGTGGATCCCAAGGGGGGGGCAGGCGGCAAGGCCTGGACGAGTTGACAGTCTCGGGCCCGGGACCTTTTAAGAATAAAAAACATGTTTTTTGTTTGTTTGTTTTGTTTTTGTGTTTTTTCCCCAGCAGAATCTTCAGGATTGAGGACTGCGGCTCCAGGGGATCTGAGCATCGAGGATCAAGGCTCCAGGGGATTGAGGATTGAGGCTCCAGGGGATGGAGGGCCGAGGATGGAGGATGGAGGATCTCGGCTCTGGGCCCTCCGTAAGGAGCCTTCAGGATGGAGGATGGAGCGCGGAGCGCATTGGCACTCGAGCTCGTGCCGCGAGGGCACGCTGAGGCGGGGCCGTGAGGCGGGGCCGCCTGGGCGGATTCTGCCACTGGCAGCGAGCGCAGGCCGGCCCTCGCGAGCGGTGCCCACGGTCGGAGGGCGAGGCGCCAGGGCGTTTCATCCTGACAGCGGCAGCTTCCGGCATGGCTCGGGCGTGCGCATCTTTTCCCGGCGGGGCCATCGGGGAGCATCCTGGACCATCGGGCGAAGAGAGAGAAGCACGCACACGAATCCGATACATGCACGGGGGATGCACGTCCGAGCGATGGCCAGTGGCAGAGCGGCCACAGCCGCGTCGCCCGGAACCCCGCGCCTGGTCTCCTTGGCCTCTCTTGCAGACGCTCCCGGCGAGTCTCCGCCACCCCCTGCCTTGTTTTGGAGACGCTTGTGTGGCCGGACGTTTTTGGCGCCTTCCAGGGACCGCGCTTCTCGTCTTCGTTTTGCTGTCGGTTTCCTTCGTTTTGTCTTCAATCCGCCTGTGCTGTAGAACGAAGTCGAAACGAAAGCGGCCCACGACAGCCCCCAAAACACAGTTTAGGCCGACCCCTGGGTTCAGGAGGGAAAAAACACACAGACACAATTGATCGTCGACTCCCCAGAAGAATATGGGAAAATATGGGAAGTGGGGGGGAAGACGAAAACCCCAAACATACAGGAAAATATGGGGAATCTTTTTATTTGTGTGCATTTAGTTGTGTGTCCTGGGGCCCCTTGCCTTCTGGACACTGTGGGGAGACCGTGGAGGCACCCTCCCGCCACTCCCGGTGCCCGCGGCCCTGCCCCGGGGGCTTCTTGCTCGGCCCGGAGCCCCGTGGGTGCCCGCCCGTGATTGCTCGTGGGCGCCCGGTGCCGCCCCCCCCCCCCGTGGGCGCCTCGTGGGCGACTCGCGGTTCCGCTTTGTTCTGCGTATTTTGCACCACGCCCAATTTGTTTGCAGGTGCTCCTTGCGCGGTCTCGCGCCAATTATCTGTCGCTGTGCCCCAGCCTCGGTCATACCGCTCTCTGGACTTCTCCTTGCGGGCCGCCGAACCAGGAAAAATGTTGCACCACGTCGGTTCTGTCCACGACCCTCACGGGTCCAGGCTTCTCGGCCGCGCCTGGGACGCTGCAACTTCGATGCGATTCTGCCCCCCTCCTCTCTGATCCACACATGCAATCGCACCTACCCCGTCACACTTGTCGAAGAGTGCCATGCGCACGCGCACTCGTTATTGTTCAAATACCATGATTCAACAAACCTGCGTCGAACAATACAGCCCAGATGTCATTACACGTACCACGAATATCATCAACCACATCACTACCGCGCGCACGTGTCAAGTTCACACCGAGCACATCCATGAGTTTTGCGCCGAGAGCCTACATTCTGATCGCAGCACGCGGTGCTTCCGCATTGACCCAGCATGCGCCCAGTGCACGAATCCATGTCAACTAGAACCATGCGAGCCGCATTTCACGGGTTGCCACACCCGCGTTTCGAAACCATTACAAAACCATATGTCATCGAAGCATTTCAAGCTATAGCTATTCAATCAAGTTTGCCAGATGTGTTCAAAGTTTTCGCGCGCGCACTTCCTCATCATCCTCATCAGCGTCACCGCATCACCGCCGTGTCGTACTCGTCAACGCGGGTCGCCGCCATTGCCGTTATTATCAGGACGACCACCTTCATCGCAGACGCGCTGCATCATCACCGTCGTCTTCGTCGTCATTGCCATCGTCGTTCATATCGTCACGTTGGCCGCCGCTGTCCACGTCATCATGGTACCGCGCCCGCACAAACCACCAACCCGCAATGAAGTGCCCGCGCGCCAGCACGATCTTTGAGACGCGTCCGGAAGCTTCCATCGGTAACCGCCACCTCGGTCGCATCAGTTTTGCCAAACTACCTGGTCGCCCTGGGCGCGAACGTTTCCGCGCCAACGCGGCCGCAGATACGCGGCCGCAGATATGCGCTAGCAAATGGCAGCCGGCAGCCGCAATCGTGGCCGCAAGCAAGTTGCGGGTGGGAGGGTGGAGTGTTTACGCAAAATGTGGGGTTGCCGATTATTGATTGGCTTCCTTTTTTTGGCTTCTTTTGAAGGGAGATCT